TATAGCAGCATGTCGCTACCCCAGAATTACAAAGTTCTATCTGATCATTTTGAGTTACTGAGTCTAAGCGTCCAGAAAAACAGTTTCAAATGTTCTATCTGATAATTTTCACAGTATTCAGTCACTAAGACCAAGCGTCCAGAAAAACAGTTTCAAAATGTTCTATCTGCTCTATGAAAATCGTTAGATAATTCAGAGTCATTATCAAGATATTCCAAAAATAGTATTTTAAAAAAAGCTTGACATGCGAAACTCAAATTTTTTTCCATCAAATTTCTGTAAATAAAACGAGGTGCTGAGGAGATAGAATGCTGTAATTCTAAGGTAGCCAAGTATTGACAATAGGAAATAAATACATGTAATTAGGGCATATGCATAAATACACGCACACAAATAAACACGTTATAAACAATTAAAAACATTAGCATGTAAACAGGCACACATACACACACACACACACGCACACACACATAAACACACACACTCAGGAATACACATGTATACATATACACATATAACAAAAAACATACATATTCACAGTTGCAAATGATCTACACAGAAACCCCAGCACATAATACTATAATAATATACAGATAATTACACAGTTAAGAGTCACTGATTTCATCCAAACATACCACACTAGCACAAGAACATACCAAAAAAACAAACAAACTAGACCATCTTTCAGGTACAAATGATGTGTAAGGAAACATCAATACATAATTCAGGAAAAGAAATGTTCATACAGCCAAAGTGAGACAAAAATAGAATACAAAAAGTATGGCAGACCATAAATATCTCAAGTTTCTTTCTTTTTTTTTTTACAAAAATTTCTGTGCACAAGCCTTGTACTATAGTATCATAAGACAGGTGAATGATTAACCGCTATAATAATAATAATAATAAAAATATCGTCAGTCTTAGTAAAAGTTTTACGCCACTTGCAACACAATAAGGTCATTATATAACATAAGTGCTGAAGATTGTAAGCTTTATAAGAGAGTAACAAACTCAAAAAAGAAGGAGGAGAGAAAAGGACGATTGATATTCGACAGGAAAGGACGATTGATATTCGACAGGAAAGAGAGCACCCGCCAACCAACCACCCACCCACAAAGGCGCTATAGCAATCACATAGCATCGACAGCACAAAACCCACAGAAGATATTCTACATTCTACACGTGTACATAGACAGTGTGGTAGTTGATCAATGAGACCAGTGAGCAGGATGACCACACAGATGTGCCTGGAATGTGTGAGGACAAAAACGACACAATGAAACACTGAAGATAGGAGCCCTATCAATAGAAACGCCAGTGCAACGTTTAAATCTCAGTGAACCAGAAAATGAAAAAACGAGGATGCAGGAAGGGGGGCAGGGGGAGGAAGACGGGTAGGGGTAGGGGTAGAGGAAGGGGGAGAGGGGTGAAGACCCACTAAAAGGAGGAGATCGGTGCAAATTCATTGAGGTATGGCAAACTAGTTTCAAACAGTGGCGTAAACACCCGTATCATTGAACAAGTGGCTTAGCTTACCACGAAACCCTCCCCCCCCCCTCACTTAAAATGAACACACATTGAGAGAGGAAGCACAGAATGATAACAATCAAAAGCACAAGAAAAGTACAAAGAAAAGTCCAAACTAGAGCACCCACCATCCACAAAAACTTAGTTTAGTTTAGTTTTAGTAGAGGTTTTACGGCGCTCGCAACTGCATAAAGTCATATGAGCGCCAGAAGAATAGAGGTGTTACAGGAGGGTAACAAACATAAAAAAGAAGAAGGGGAGATAAGGACGATAGATGTTTAATAGGAAAGAAGGAGCAAACCACACCAGAGCAACCGCCAACCACCCACACAAAAACTGAAGAAGGTCAAAATCTGCAAAAGAGCATAATAAACAATACAGAATCTCGTACAGCAAATGCATTGACTTAACTGGATTTGTTGAAAAAAATGGTGACAAACCGAATACTCAATCATCGAAACAGAACAAACAAAGTTTTATACAAATACGCCCGAGACATACTAATAAAACAGAGTTAGCAAACAGAACACATAGTTTTTAGTTTTAGTAAGAGTTTTACGACACTTGCAACACAATACGGTCATATAAGTGCCGATGATTAGAGATGTTACAAGAGAGTAACAAACACAAACAAGAAAGAGGGGAGATAAAGACGATAGATGTTTGAAAGGAAAGAAGAAGCAAACCACACCAGAGCACCTGTCAACCACCCACACACACAGTTTTATACAAACACACGCTCCAGACATGTTGATAAAACCGTGTTAGCAAAACAGAAATGAACATTATATTTTCAACTTTTATACAGATACGCTCATGACATATTGATAAAATGACGTTATATGTAACAAAACTGAACATTTTATACAACAGACATATCAGGATTGTACAAAAACACATGACAAATAAATGACATTGCAAATGTAAAAAATAGCTTGTTCTTTATCAAATATGAAGAGAGTTGAGTAGGGAGTTTTCCGTAAGTCGGCACGATACGTGTGTGTGCCAGGAGAGAGGAGCCAGTTGTCAGCAAAGGTATTTTTGAGCTTTTAAAAAAAGTTTTAGAGAGAGTTTTACGGCACTTGCAACTCAATAAGGTCACAAAAGTGCCGAAGATTAGAAGTGTTACAAGAGAGTAACAAACACAAAAATAGACGGAGGAGGGATGAGAACGATAGATGTTTGATAGGAAAGAAGGCGCAAACCACACCAGAGCACCCTCAACTGCCCGCCATTTTTGAGCAACGGGATAAAAAGGCCAAACAAAATTGTAGCGGGTAAAAAAAAATGTTGGTTCAATCAGAAAACACACATTTAACCATTTTTAATAACACAGAATGGATTTCGTAACATTTTGAGTTAAAATATTTGTCTATCAATTATTTTTGTAACATGTTGTGCTTCACCAAAGGTTAAAAATGTGCTAAAAATTGGGTTTTTCTCCAAACTTTGTTTTTACACCCTGTGTTACAAAAAGTGGCAAATCTTTAAAACTACACAAGATATTTGAAAATGTAAAAAATCAGCGTGTTCAGCATTGACTTTCCTATAAGAATATTCCCCTATTTTACTTTTTTAAAATTTCCAACAACTTTGAACCTTCTCCAGGCACACACACGTATTTTGCCACAAAGCAGAATAGCCAAACAGTCATACTGACGTACAAGAAGTAGGCTACAAGATGCAGACCACACCGCAGCACTCATCAACAACCCACAGACCCAAGGAAAGGATGCAAAGCACAATAATAGCGATGATAATAACAACTATAATCATAACAATAATATAGTCATAATAATAATAATAATAATAATAATAATAATAATAATTGCCATTAAATAAATGCACTTATGATCATTATTATCAATATTATTATTATTATTAT